GAGATTTGATGGTTGTGGAACCAGGGCCTGGAGACCTCATATGGAGGCAACACAAACCCTTCTCTGTAGCCCTTTGAAACCATATACACTGAATGGCTACATTACTATGACCACATGACGTTTGTAGGCAAATTAGCTATAATTTCGTGCTGAAGTTGCTAGAGGACCAGATCATTATAAACGTCTGAATAGCACAACATACCTAAGTATCATTGCTGATCAGGTTCATCCTATCATGTTGATGGCGTATCCCAATGGAGATGGCTTCTTCCAACAAGACAATGCGCCATGCAATGGTGCTCGTATTGTGCAGGAGTGGTTTCAAGAACATGAGGGAGACTTCACCTTGCTTAGGTGGCCCCCACAATCACCAAATCTCAATCCAATTGAGCATTTGTGGGACAAACTTAAAAGAGCCATCAGGCAGCTGGTTCCACAACCATCAAATCTCATAGAACTGGACAGTGCTATTCATCAGGCATGGTGTCAGATTCCTCGCATCACCTTTCACCATCTCGTGGAGTCAATGCCAAGAAGAATCACCACAGTATTGAAGGCAAAAGGTGGCCCAACGAAGTACTGATGGGGTGGTCATAATAATCTGGCCGCTCAGTGAATAAATATATATCCCATGTTCAAAGGCTGTTAAATAGTGTTGTTTACCCATATCTTCAGAAAAAATCACTTCTACTGTCATGGTAAACAACCTGCTTCCCTATTTAGAATGATTTGACCCTCTAGCAACTTCAGCGCGAAATTATAGCTAATTTGCCTACAAATGTCAGGTGGTCATAATATACTGGCCACTCAGTGTATATCACATCTCTTTATCCATTCATTCATCAGTGGACAGTTAGGTTGTTTCCATATCTTGGCTATTATAAGTAATGCTGCAATGAACATAGCAGTGCATATATCTTTTCAAATCAATAATTTTATTTTTTTCTTTTAATACCCAGATGTGGAGTAGCTGGATCACATGGCAGTTCTATTCTTAAATGTTTAAGGACTCTCCACACTGTTTCTACAGTGGCTGCACCAATTTACATTCCTTCCAACAGTGTATTAGAGTTCCCTTTTCTACACATCCTTTCTAACAACTTGTTTCTTATATTTTTGATAATGAAATGTGCCAACAGGTGTGAGGTGATATCTCATCATGTTTTAATTCACAATCCTCTAATAAGTAATGATATTGAACATCTTTTCCTGTGCTTGTTGGTTATATATATATATCTACACTAATAAAAGAGAAACATGGTAATTAGCGTATGACCGCTACCCTTCCCATTGGCTAATCAGCATATCCTTATGCAAATTAACTGCCAGCTAAGATGGCGGCCGGCAGCCATGCACTGAAGCAAACAGGGAGGCTTGCTT